AAAAAAACCAGAATTTCCAGAAAACTGCTCTAGCAAAATTAAACAACTTTGTTAATGTGCTCTAAGTTACCAACACAATCCTGTGCTTTGAAGGCTACCTGTGAAGCAAAATGTGACATGACACCACAGCTTTGCTTGCCTGAGAGTTTTCTTTCTTTCCTTGAAATGCATCAGGTTTCTGTGACATTGTTTCCATGACAGAATGCTGTCTTGACCTTTGAAATAATTTTAAATTTCAAGTTTCAAGACTTCTCTAAACCAGGAAAGTATGGTAGGATGGGAGGAGAGGCTGCACTTCCTAAAATAATGTAAAGTGTTATATTAACTGCTGTGCTATCCAGAGTAGCAAACTTCAAATATTAACAGTATTTAAAGAAAAAAATAAAACAACAAACAGCAACAACAACCTACCTACTTGAATGGAGCTAAGTGTATAATATTATTTTGATTTTTGAGTTGAGTTTCCTGGTAGGATGGCCTCAGGTGAGGTTGTCTTGGGATATGCTGCTCTGAGCTGCTGGGAATGTGCTGTCTTTGGAGGGTTTTTTTTGGTTGTTGTTTTTGTTTATTTGTTTGGTTTGTTTTTGTGATCTTTTTCCAAAGGGTTTTTATGGTGCTTCTCAATGCATCAGTTTATCCTGTGTAAGCATTGTTTGGGGAAGGTTTTACAGTCAATAGTAGGGACAAAGCTTTCACAGTTTATTTTTACTTTTTATTTTTAACCAAAGAAAAGTGGTAGTTGTGGCTCTTTGACTTTTAAATGCCCATGAGGTTAAATCTCTACACTGCTATTTAGTAGAAGGGAGTGAATGGCTTTATATGACAATAGGAGAAGACTGAAAAAAAAGCAATGCTGGTATTTAACTTGCTGCATTTGAAATATCCTTTTGCGTTGCACCTGGTGTAGCTGCTCATTCCCTTGGGTTTGTCACTACATTGGGTACTGCAGAAAATGAAGTATTTATTTAAATTCTATTTAAATCTGTAATAATATGCTATTCTTTTTCTTCTGGTCGTAGGTAGTCCTAAGGAAAATGTTTGAACCGTTATTTTTCAGATTTGGAATGTGTCACTGCCTCATGGAATGTGTTCCCTCATGTCCCATCAGACACACCTGGCCCAGCTGCATGTTCCTCTGTGTGTCACAGGTTTGAAAGCCCTACAGTCATGTCTTGAAACAAGTCTCAATTTTGAGGTCTTAAATGACTTCACATTTGCTTCATGGGCTTTCTTTACTGTAAGGGGCAGCATTTGTGCTCTCTCTGCACATAGGGTAAGGATGTTTAATTCATGCTTCCTTTCAGCCCTTGGTCTGAGACTGTTCTTTTCCTTACGAAAAGCTTTTGTTGTGTTTAAACCAGTTACAAACTGCTGAAGTTGGGTGTGTTACACCCAGCCATGCCATGCAGTGCATGGAGGAGAAGGGGGCCTGGGATGCCAGTGCATTGTCAGAGGCTCCCTGTCCCCTGCTGCAGGCATTGTCCCCATGACAGCAATAATGGGGCTGTGTTCAGGGCACTCTGCACCGCTTGGTTTGCTCAGTCAGGAGGAGCCGAGCGCAGCGGCTCCAGTGCAGCGGCTCCAGTGCAGCTCAGCGCTCCTGCAGTGCTGCCTGCCAGGCGCTTCTCTCCTCTCCTGCACTCACACGGGGCTGGTTCACCGGCTGCAGGGGAGGGACCGGCCAGTGCAGGCAGCCGGAGAAAGGCACCCTTGGCTGGGTTGTGCCAGAGGGATCTGCAGCTCCTGTGCCTGCGCTGCCACGAACACTGGGACTGCACGCGGTTTGTTTGGCACGGGTCATTGCAGACCTCCCGAGGGAAGGGAGGAAACCCTAAATCCTCCCTTTGGTGGTGATTTAAAAGTCCCTTCACGCTGCTTCTGTTGTGTCTTACCGTCCAGGGAAAGGTTGTTTCTACAGCAGTTTGTTATCCGTGTCTGGTACCTCACCTTCTAAACTGTAAACAGAACAATCTAAGCCAATGTCCTCTACTACAACCAGCACCCCCCATTTTAGCTCAGTCTTACTATTCCGGAAAAACGATTAAAAATAGTAATTCTGTCAAAAGTGCATCTCCCTTCAATCTGTAACTTCGGTTTGTTCAGCACCTTTGTTTAAAATGTATGTTTTCACATATTTAAAACACCTGAGTTTTAATATCTCTGTATTAAGTGCATTTACTATCGATAATTTAAAGACCATTCCTTGCCAATGGATGTATAGAGTTCTGAGAGAATACCAAAATTATATAATATGATAAACTATGTAAAGTTTTCTACATGAAAATACGATGTATAATAGTTATAATATTCCATGCTTTAATCAAGTAATAAATCAATAAAGTTTTACGAAGTGTTGCTTTTTTGCTCAGGTGGTTCCTTAAGCGGCTCAAAGCCTTCGGCGTCACTCGGGCTTCTCTGCGGGGTTCGGGGATTCCGGTTCGTGTTTTATACCGCCCGCACGCTCCGTCCTCGTCCGTGCTCCGCCGCGGGGCCGGGGCCGGGCCCGGGCCCGTTCCCTTGGCGGCTCCGGGGCTCCGGCCGGACCCCGCTCGCCCCCGGCCCAGCTCGCCCCCGTTCCGGGGCTCCGGCCGGGCCCCGCTCGCCCCCGGCCCAGCTCGCCCCCGTTCCGGGGCTCCGGCCGGGCCCCGCTCGCCCCCGGCTCAGCTCGCCCCCATTCCGGGGCGGGGCGAGGCCGGCGCGCTACGGGCGGCGCCGCGAGGCCTTGTGGGAAGGGCCCGGCCATTGGTCGCCGCCCATGGAGCGCGGCGCGGATTGGCTGCCGGCGGCGCGCCCGGGGCCGGAGCGGTCGCTGATTGGCGGAGCTGCAGCGCGATGTCACCGCCCCGCGCGATGCGGTCACGGAGCCGCCGCCGCGCCCTCGCCCGGCGGTTTGAATGTGAAGCGCAGCCGGAGCGCTCGGAGCCGCCGCTGCCGCTGCCGGGGGGGAGCCGCCAGGTAAGGCCGGGACGCGCTGCCCCGCGCGACGATGGGGCTGGAGCGGCCCCGTGCACCGGAGGCACCGCGCCCGCCCGCGCGCCAACTCCGCGCTGCGCTCGGCGCTGGGCCCGCGGCGCGGCCACAGGCGCAGCGCACCATGCTGGGCCCTTCCGCCCGCCTCTCGCGGCCCGCGATTGGTCCGAGGCCGCTGGGCCTGCACAGCCCGCGCTTCCCATTGGCTGCGGCCGCTGCCAGTCCGGGCTGTCGGGGGGAAGGGGACCGAGTTAGTCTGAGGGCTCTGGGGCCGCTCGGGATGTCGCCCGGCCCGGGCCCTGCCGCCTCCTCACGGCCCCGCTCGGCCCGGCCCGGCTCGGCCCTGGGGCCTCTCTGCTGGGGCCGCCGCAGGAGGCAGCACGAGCGGAGCAGGCGCGGTTCGGCGCCGGGACGGACGGAGCCGCGCCGAGCCTTGCGGGCCCGGGAGGGCGCGGGGCCGGTCCCGCCGGGGAGTCCCGGGCTGCTCCGGCACGGCCCTGCCCGCGGGGAGCGGGCGGGGTGCTGGGCCGCTGCCGCCGCCCCTGGCGCTGTTGTACCGGGCCCGCGCTTTGGGGAAGCGGGAAATGCCCCTGGGGGTCCTGCAGCACTGCCGGGATGGCTTTTCCCGTCACGTCTGGGTCCTGAGCATTGTTCGGGAGGGTTCGGTCGGAGCTGGGGAGGGGATGCAGTTGTGTGAAGTTCTTCCCGGGTCGAGCCCCAGGGCCACGGCCGCCTTCTGCCTGGCTTTGGGTTTGTTCTCCGTGAGTGCTCTGCAGTAACTTGGCCGAAGTCGATGATGTATTAAGCACGCTTTATGGGTTTTCCGAAGCCTTCTCTGCAGGCACAGGCTACAACACAACATAAAGCATCAGATCACTCCAGCTAAATTACCAACAATGGTTTTTGTACTGGAAAACAAACATGAAGAGCTAGAGGGAGAGAAGGAATAAGCATGTGTAGGTAACAGGTCAAAATATGTTGGTGGATATCAATTGGTGAACAAGATTACAGACAAGTAAACCCCAAAAGGAAAGGGAAACATAGGAGGCGGGACTCTTCAGGTAGATTTTTACTTTTTGCAAAATATGTTAGGATCTGATTTGCTTATTAACATTAATTTAATTCAAGAGGATACTGCTGCTGTCTTTTTAAATTATATAGATGCCATAGCTGAATAAAAACTGTGTCATTAAAGCTCACTGCCTTTGCAAGCATGCTTATACAAAAGTGTGTTTATTGCACTGGTGATCAGCATGAAACAACTGCAAAACAGGACAGGTAAATTTCAGTCAATTTTACTAAACAGAAACCCCAGAGAGAAAATGGAAACCTTAGCTTCCACATAACCTTTGTAGGGAGTGAATTGTGCTGCTGCTGGTGGGAAGGACGGGATGATGATGTCCAGAGGAGCATCTCCATTAAAGTGCATCTTACTCTCGTAGTATTGCTGTAATTTTAATTATTCCAATGCAAGCTGTGAAGTAAATATATGATAAGGATATGTGTGGGAGATTACTAGAGAGGAGCAATATGGACTTATTGCACAGAGTTATTCTGTAAAAAGTATTGCATTTAAATTAGCTCCCATCTAGTCTGAACTAATTTTATAGGGAGGACAAACTGACTTTGCAGTCTTTTGTCTCTTTTTTACAAAAGCTTTTTTATTTTGAGATTTTTCTTTAATAAGGAGTATTTGATTTTTTTAAAAAAAGCCTTGACTCTTCAACACACTTGGAATTGTTTTATTTACAATTATGTGGGGCAGGACTGTTCAGCTGTTTCCGTCAGGTGCAGTTTCTGGGGCTGGCAGCAGAACCAAATTCCTGTTGTCCTGAAAGGGCAAGAGATCATCTTTTGGCTGTACCTGGTTCATGTCTGCTGGATGTGTAAGCCTTTTCTGGAGTTTGGGGCCCATAAACCAGACCCTAGCAGTTACCTGTAGCTTGAGAAGTGCAATGTTTGCCTGTGCACCCTGTGGGGACTGGGCTTGTGAGGTATTGTCAAAAAGAGCTGATGTTGCTTCTGTGGGATCTGGATTTACACGGGTAGCTTTAGGATAGATTTTCTGATCTCTGGTTGTAACAAAACTGCTTGTGTGTTTTAGGTTCTGCCAAAATGGAGCTCAGTGATGCCAATTTACAAACTCTAACTGAATATCTAAAGAAAACACTAGATCCAGATCCTGCTATAAGACGTCCTGGTAAGTAATTCTCATGATTGAGAACAAAAAAGTTCTGTTTCTTTTTGGCTCTTCTGTCTCTGTGTAGCAAACTTCAGTGGATATTTATGCTATAACCTCTTTACAGAAATTCTCAGTATCCTTTTAAAATGAACCCCCCCCCCCCAAAAAAAACCGAATGAAGGATGGATATAAATAAAAATCATTTTATCTGCTTTTTGTTATTCTGTCTTTCGGTACTGTATTCTTGCTTTTTTTTTTTTTTTTAATGCTATTTAAAACAGTGCTGCTGTTCACAGCAAGCCAGGATTTACTTCTCTGGGGTTGTGTCTTTTCCAAGGGTGAGGAGGCAGTATTTCCCCATCCTGCTGGGGATCTCAGAGCTGTTGTTGATGGCAGGAGCATTGAGGAGCTGGGGAGCAAAGAAGCTGTGATACTTTTGTCAGACACGTTCCTGTGAAGCTCTGGGAAGTGTTTGTGTTGGGTATTTCAAACAGACACTGGAGAAGTTGTAGGATTGCCATTAGAGAAAGCAGTTCAGCCATTGCTAACCGTGGAATATTCTCTTGCAGCGGAGAAGTTCCTTGAATCTGTGGAAGGAAGCCAGAACTATCCTCTGTTACTCTTAACACTGCTGGAGAAATCACAGGAAAATGTCATCAAAGTCTGTGCATCTGTAACGTTCAAGAATTATATTAAAAGGAACTGGAGAATTGTAGGTATCCTAGTGAGGAACTGTGCAAAGAACTAATCATCCCTTTAAGGTACAATAAGCAGATCCACATCCCACCCAACTCCGAGTCATCTGTGAACCTACTGAGGGAGCCCTTGATCCTCTCATCCAGATCATCAGTGAAGATATTAATCAGTACTGGCCCCAGTTCTGAGTTCTGGGGAACCCCATTAGTGATGGATGGTATAGATAAGCATACCCTGAACTTTTGAAATGGCCAACTTTTGATTTAAATGTGTGGAAAGATGGTAAAAGGGATATGAGGGGGGTAGTGGTACCATCAGGTTTAAGGTATCTCAAGACCGAGTCTCTCTGGAGGTCCTTTTCTCTTTTAATTGCTGGATGATTTCTAGGTCTGACTGTCACTGCTGTCACTGATTGGGACAATCCACTTCATTATTTTTATTTCTTTAGTAGCAGCTTTGCAATTTGGCACTGCTGAAAGACTGGTCTTGGAACTGGTTGGTGTTTTGAACTGGTTAGATAACTCTTAAAGTCAATTATTAGGGTTTTGATTGTGTAACCTGAACTTTCGTGTACAGTCTCTAGAAAGGATGGCTTGAGACAGCTCACTCAAAATCACTTTGTGGGGTTGGCAGAGGTGCTGTTTGGTGTGGTGAAAGAGGAGACTTCGTGAGATGTGGGGATTTTATTGCCATGTGCACCCACCCTCACTGCTGCTCACTTGCTAACCTGAGGAGGAGAAAAAGAACTTCTTCAAAGTTTTACAGAAGGACATTATTTCTTTTGGCTTTTTTCAGATACTGCTGTTCCAGATTCATTGAAGGCAGTGTCTCAGACAGGTCTGCTACTTAGGTTCTTCAGCATTGTAATAGTTACATAAATCAGTATAAACTGTTGGTTTCTGAAATACTGATCATCTCTCATTCCCTTGAGAATGCTGAGATGCCCATAACTTAATTATTGTTTTCATTTTAGGTTGAGGATGAACCAAACAAAATCTGTGAATCGGACAGAATAGCCATTAAAGCCAACATAGTGCCCTTGATGCTTAGCAGCCCAGAACAAATTCAAAAGCAGGTAATACATCATTCCTGGTTGTATCCCTGAAACTGTGGGAATATTCTAAGCATGTCTAGAGGGTATGGTTATTGGCAG